AAAATTTTTGAAAAGTTTTTTTAACAAAACATCATCGTGATATACAGTCAAAATAAGATGTTTGAATACATTCAAAGACAGATAAAACTGTAAAAATTAGTTTACAAAACTACTTTTTAAAAATATACAAGAAGTTCTCTATAATAATTAAGTAAATGTTAATATTAAATTTAATACAAGAATATTAAAAATATAAAATATAAAAAATTTTAAAAATTTATCTTACAAATACAACATATATTTAAAAAACAAATATTTTTAATTGGTAAGTAGTAGTTAAATTTTTTAAAAGGAAAGAGTAATAGCATAAAAAAATTAAAATTAAAAATTTATATATAAACAAAAAACACGAAAGCTTAATATTTTATTATTAACTTGTTACTTAATTATTACAAAACATAATCTGTATATTTCATCAAATCGGTGTATATTTAAGTTTTTAACCAAATAAAAGTGATTACAGATTAATTAAAAAGTTAACACATAAATACACAAAAGTTTTTTAGTATTTAAATTAAACAACAATTTTAGAAATTTAAGTAGTAAAGAAATATTAGATAGAACAATAAGAAAACTCTTCAAAAAATTAGAATTTAGTGCCACGAAAACAGTTTCTAAACTAAAATATTCTAAAATATATAAAGTTAGGTGTTTAAATTTTACAAAAAATTATTGACGTAGGTAAATTATTAAAATGATATTGTTTTTACTAATAAATTATCTTTAATATACATTATTACACAAAAAACGTGATTATTAAAAATTTTCAAAAATATTTTATTATACAATACATCATTTATTCTTTTTAATAACAATTTATATTTAAATAATAAAAATAACCAAATTCAAAAAATAACAAAAAATTATATTAGTAAAAAAGCTTTAAAAAACTGTTTGAAAAAAATGAAAAAAAAACAAATTTAATATATATAATTATAGTTTTTTCTTTATACCTTTTTAAACACTAACTACTTATTTTTACACAAATTACTTGATGTTTTATACCAAATCTATATTATTTTTCATTAAATCCATCATTTGTAAACTTACTAAATTACAAAAATTTGTATTTTATATAAACGCGAACTATCTAAACTAGGTTAAAACCCATACTTTGATTGATCAGTTCTAATCATGAATATTTGTATCATTCAATTACTCAAAAACAAGTTTAAAGGTATGCCTTGGATCACCATCTTAATTTAAATAGTTTTCTTTAAATTCGTTTTATGAGCGGATTATCTTAAATTATTAGCGAAAAGTTGATTATAAACTACTGATTTTATTTCTAATAAAAAAACAATAATCATGATTTTCTACAAAAAATATACACCAAAACTATTATTAATTAAAATATTTGATTAAAAAACATTTATTGTTAGATTTGTACTGTTATCCAAGAAAATAATACATATAATTAATACCATTTTTAAATAAAAATGTGAAATTTACACTCATCAATAAAAATTATTATTATTTATTGTCTCGTATGAAACTTCAAAATATTTTCTGACAAGTGAAGTTCTTTCTATATTGATGAATCTTTAATAAAGTTTTTTTAAAAAACTTTTTTATAATGTTTTTTGTAATCTATAGACAAATTTTTTATGATTTTTATCATAAATCAAAAATACTAACGTTTTAATTCATCAGATAATGTTTTCTGGTCGTCCTATAACGAATTTTGTATTAGGCGGTATTTTTTTCTTTAATTTTTTTGGTATAAAACACTAAGGTTATAATATTTTGTCTTAAAAAACCACCTCTTTTTGACTTAAACCAGGTTTTAAGTCGTTTTCAATTAAAACAATATTTTCATATGTAAAGTTATTAGTCATATGTCAATAATTTACAATTTTTAAGAATCGATTATGAGGGTAAATTATTTTTGATTATATTTTTGGATGAATTTAAAAAAAATCAAGTAAAGATTCTTTTCTTGTATAAAATCTACTGTTTTTTAGTTCATTTATTTTTACTAACTAAATATATACTGTTATTAAAATTTTTTTAATTTTATACCGTCAAAAACTTTTTAAAAAATTTTGTGGTTATTTTTAAATAATACTCTATTATGATTAAAAAATGTAAAATGTAGATCGTTAAAATAAAGAAGTATTTGTGAATAAAACCTTTAAATATGCAAAGAAAAAATTATGAATAAGGTATATGTCTTCTAATTGTGTTAGTGAACTGTATTTTTTTAGATAAAAACACTGATGTCTTATTTTACGTATGAAATTTAGCTGATAATTTACAATTTTTAATTGCAACGCTTAACTTTGATAATTATAAATTTTTAAAAATAAGTATTTCTAAACATTAAAGTAAGATAGCTAATGAATACTTTAAATTTAATAATATTAAATAACTTATTTATGTATTTCAATCAACTAATTCAAACCTTATTGAAAACTTTTAGGTTGTAGTAAAAAGAAGATAAAAAGGTAAAAAAATTAATATTATTAATGAAATGAAAGATACTTTATAAGAAATATAGTAAAATATAGTTGTTGATATTTGTTTTAATCTTCTAAATACTCTGTTTAATAGAATAAAAGGTATTATAAAAATTTATGAAAAATATACAGAATATTAATTTTTAAAATATCTTTTTTTATTAAATTTTTTGATGTTTTTTTGTTATTTTATTATAAAAAAAACTTTTACATAAAATTATTTATAATTTTAAATCAAAAAAATAATGTTCCTAGAATTTTCAAAACAAACATGCAGTGGTGGAAAATAAAATTGAGCCAGCACAAAAATAAAATATAAACTACTGAAAAAACAAAATTTCTTAAAAAAGAAGATTAAATTTTGTCTATTCTACATACTTATTATTAAAAAATAAATAAAAATGACATGTGAAACAGAAATTTTAAAAAAAATAAAAAAATAGAATAAAAAATTGAGCTTAAAAATTTAATACAACGTACTTCTTCCTTTAGATTTACATAATTACTCAATTCTCTTGGGTACTGAGTTTACTAGATTTTTACACATTTCTTGAGGTATTTTAAACCAATCATCAACAACAAATTCTTCTAATTCTTTTAAATTTTTAGGTTTTCGTTTATGCACCTGTATCTTCAAATAATGCCAT